AGGTCCCCTCCTTTGGCCTGATGGTCAGAGGGGAGGGGGTCCCCTGCTTCTTGTGGAGCTTGCTGTCTGTGGATCAGGGAGTGGCTCCACCAATCTATCTTCCTGTTGCACTCCCTGATATTCCTTAACATCTCCACTTCTTTTAGCGCTGCCATGAAGCAGAGTAGGTCATTCAGCTGATTGCACCTTACACAGGTGGTTCTGTAGAAGATGACAACTTGGTTTCTTCATCATTTGAATGTAAACATCTGTAAAACTGATGTTCTTTGGGTTTCAAAGAGGAAACGGAGCTCAAAGGAGTACAAACCCAGGAATTTATTCTTTGACCATGGTTTCACATACAGCACTTGTTGGTAGGGTGCTTACCATTTCCTCTACAACCCCTGTGATACCAGTGGGTCACCTCAGTCTAACTACATAACTTGAGTAATGTTTTGGCACCTTCATGAAGGGAACTGGTTGAAAGACCTGAGTCAACTGAGGCTGAATGTACTTTTTTGCTGACTAATGCCTTCAGATAATATAGCTTAAGATGTCCCCAAGCCATTCATGAAACCAGGCTGAGTAGTTTCAGCTGAACAACATAAAGCTCAGTTCAGGAAACTGGCCAGGGCAGATGCTGTATTTTATAAGAAGCAAACAGTCACCTCAACCACTGAAGCTGTATGAAGGGACTTAAACCTCTTGTCTCTCACCTAGTAGGAGGCAGTCCTAACCATCAGCAAAGAGGCATTCTGGGCTGGTGTCACCTGATGATGTTGTTCCAGTTTGTATGACTAAACAGGTAGGGGCTAAAGGCTTGATGACTCTACCAGCAGCTTGGATAGTCACCCTTCTCTTGTCCTCCTCTGATTTAATGAGTATTGCATATCCACTAAAATTAGGGTTAACAAAAGGGATTGAAAAACCCTTCTTCACTCATTGCTGGTATCTGAGATTGTGTTGGCCAGATGATAATCCTGCCAATGTGGTCTTCTGGAGTCAAACTCCATCCAGTTCTGACGGTTGGTTGCTACTGACTGTTTCCTGAGACAGGGAGCGAAAGTGAGAAAGGTTTTCTTGCCTAGTGTTTCAGAATATGAGAAGGTGGGACTGCATGTGAGTTATGTTGTATTATGTAAAAGAAGAGGCATAGCACCTCTAGATGTGTGGCATGGAAAGAGCACCAACTGCAGTTACAAAGCTGCTCCTATATAATATAGTATTAGTGTCACTGACCCTTCCCTGGCATTTGGAAAAAATGAGGAATTGAATGTTTTGTTTCACTTTTCTCAGCTAGTACATAGAGCCCTCCGAAGTACTGTCTTTCAAAAGTATTGCTTTCTTCTAGCAAATAGCATTTATTTCCTGCTACCTTAAAAGAATTTTTTTTTTTACTTCTTTTATACTCTATCTCCTTTGAATGAAGTTAATGGGGGGAAAAAAAGGTGAAGGAACACCAGCACTTTTGCAGGTATCAAAACAGTTGAAGGGATTAGCAAAGACTCCAGCATGTTTCGCCTCTCCATACTTTGATTTTTGACTTTTTTTTTTTGGTCAAGAGTGTTCTAGCTATAGCAATTTAAATTGAGTACAGGCTGTACTAACACTTGAGGAGAAACCTTGGCAGTTTAATCTTGTTGAAAAGAAGTTTAAGTGGCATTCAGAGCATTAAGCACCATACATCTTGGAAAATGTATCTGGATGATCTACTTAAAATACTGGACTCTCCTAAAGATGTACCACACTTGAAGCGCAGTGCTAGGAACAATATTAAGCCTTAAGAGAAGATAAAAGGGAGTCAACATCACTAAAGGGCAAGAAAAAGGGAGATTAATGGAAACAGAGAAACAGTCTACCAAAAGCTGAAGTTGTTTCCAAAGAAAATGGAATTTTTTATAAGCTCTGGCGGATTACATATTTTGTCAATGTGGCCAGCAGAAAGTTTCCAAAAATAACTAAAAGAAAAAAACTAATTCTACATCCTCCTTCCAGCAACAGCACAAGCCAAAAAAGAGTAAAAGACACCCACCCTCTCACCTGCCATGTATGTATGGTCACTTGATGGCCAGGTATAAAAGAACTGCTCAGGGAAGACGCGGGGAGGTCGTATGAGTTGTTGGCATCAGTGTTCACTGTGGAAGAAGCTGAGAAGATTCCTTGTGCCCGTGGGGAGACTCAGCAGGCTGAAACTGTGGTATTATTAGAGAATTTGTGGTATAGATACAGGTTGGATGTGAATGTATTGGCAGGACTCGACTCATCCAAGAGTGCTGAAGAACAGTAGTGTGTACTTCCTCTAAAACTACCTTGGTAGTTGAAGACTGGAAAGTGTTAAAAATGGACTTTAAAAATCAGCATTCAAAAATAGTTCAAATTAAAACCAGTTCAAGTAGATCTGTAAGCCTGACATCTCTACCAGCTGAATTGGTAGATACTGTATTATAGCACTAGTGAACACCTGGATAAATATGTATGTGCTGTCGTGAAGAGTCAGCACTGTTAAGTCCAAAGGAAATTTTAACTTGTAAAACTTTTGGAGTTCCTGGAATAGATGCCTGTGCATAAGGTTAATCTATATTCAGTAGGTAAAGCCTATTTGAATACGCTTTTAACAAAGAGATTGAGGCAATCATGCTGTAAGAAGGAAAGTACTGGTAAAATAATTGGTTAGAAGGATACAGAGAATAAGAGATTAGGCAAATATTTGAAAGTAAGATTTAGTGGGATTACTGCATTGACAAAGTACACCAGCATCAGGAAATCAGAGCTGAAAATACTTGGATGTTCAGTTTGAAATACACTGGTCATGTTCTTACCCTTTCCTAGGTGTTGGAGAGTGAAGTGTGGGCTCTTTGAAAGATCTAATGTGCAGCAAATCAACACATCTCAAACACTGTTGGAAGCCTTGAGAAGCATCTATTAACACTTCTAGGCATAAATGAGCAACAGCAGAATTGCTGAGAAATACTACTCTGAATTGGTATTAGATGAAAGTAAAGTCTTTTTATTTAGAAGGGACATTTTGAAAGTTTGCAGAAGGTAGCAGCTTCAGGGTCTACAGCTGCAGTCCTGGGGCTGGCTTGAATTTCCCTGACCTATTTCCAGGGATTTTACTAACGGCATGAGCTCTTGTGCTAAGAACTGGGAGGGTCTTCCTTGTTTGCCAAACTACTGTTTGTTTCTATTTTTTTAGCCTCATGTTTGGCTTCTGCTAATCTAGCTGCTCCGGTACTCAGGTGGCCACGAGTTCACGCCCATTGCCCTAGAGCTGCAAAACAGGTGAGGTTGCCCAGAGGGAGCAGCTAGTAGAGGAAGTACAGAGATCTTCTTTTGCATGTTTTAGAGTTGTGCAAATTGACTTTACTCAATTTAAAATATTGTAGATTTACCACGTATTCCTAGGGACTCCGAACAACTGTTTTTATTTTTGCGGTCGAGATTTTAGTTGACAGTGTTGTTTAATAGGGAGCTGCGCTCCAGCTGCAGGCCATGTAGCACAATCTCACAGATCGCCAGTGATACACATACTATAATTCAAAAAATGTGCTCATATACTTCAGAATGTGCCTATCCTCATTACAGTTTTTACCATAATGCCTGTTGAAGCATTTACTGTTTCAAATAATTCCTCTTCAGTCTACACTTTCTATAGCACACAGTATCTTTAAAAAGAAAATACATTCAATTCAAACATTGCTGTTTCCTCTATCACGTTCTCTTTAGAAAGATCTCTAAGAGGCTGAAGAGACGATGTAGTTGAATGACATATTCACTGACATTTGCAAATTAATAATATGCAAAGGACATCATAATGTTAAAGAGAAAGCTCAAAAGACTTAGCAAAAGGGTTCTCAGCCATGAATAGGTCTTTCATGGCTGTAATCATTTGGTATGCTTTATATTTGAGTTACAAAGCGTGTAAGGCCAGCATGAAAAGACAGGAAAGCATAATGTTACTAGCTTTGAATTTGCTGCAGTGCTGTTGTGGGCAGTGATCTGCAGAGACCTGTGTCTGAACAGTAGCTGGGTGAAAGACCTAGATGTGCAGGAGATCCTGCACTGTTCTGGTCCTATTTGGTTGCTGTCCTGAAGACAGAGCAGTCTTAGTCTTAGTCCTTAGTCTTAGGGAACCCATGGTGAGCTCTAGAAAACTATATCTGTATATCAAGTAAATCTCTTGAAGACTATATCTGGGCTTTGTTGCATTTCTTTTTCCCATTAAAACTGAAGAAAATGTGTAATCTGGTTATGTTGTCACAGGCTCAGTCTGGCATGCAGTTCAGTAAAATTAAATGCTAAAGATATAAGACTAAGTTCTGTGGGCTTGTTTTTTTTTATTTTTTTATTTGTGTCATAGCTGATTTCGTTGGTTATCTATTTCCTCATCCTTCAGACTTTCAGCTGTAAGAGCTGTGAAGTATTCAGATACTGTAGAGTTACTAGGCAGCAATTTCATTTTGACAATACGAGTAGTTTACAGCCATGCTGTTCTGCCTATTCTTTTATATTATTTCCACTTGTGTGTTACTTTAGCAGACATGATTTTCAAAGAGTCAAACTAAGATGAATAGCTCATCTTTTGAAAGCTAAGATTCAAGCTGTCAGATAACAGAGAAGACTGATGTTTAGCTCTGCTGGTTTTCGAAAGAGTAGCTATTAAAAGCACATTCTAATTTGAGTTGGCAGAATAAGGATCACACACAGTCCCAAAATACCAGTGAACACTTATTTTAATGTTTCATTGCTTTGGTGTATAGGATATCTCTGTGTTCCATTGAAAAACAGAGAGTCAGCTTTCCCTTGGCACTATGTATAGTATTCCCAGGGTGATAGCATAAGAGCAGTAATGGGTGAAGATTTAAAAAAAACCCTAATTAGTACTGAATTCAGTCATAAAAGGGGCCTACCTCTTCATGGGGTTTAGAGCCGACCTCTGCAGTGTCTAACTGCACTTCCTGAGTGCATTGAATTATTCTGAAGGTCATGTGCTAAGGGACAGTGTGACATTAAGAAGCAGGATGGTGGAGAAGGATGTAGTTTGGAGTCACTATGGAAAGTGTATTTCCTTGCTTTTTGGGTCCTTGGAGCTGATAGTGCAAGTACCCAGAATCCCTGACCTGGAAAAAGCCATTGAAAAGGTATATTAGAAGGAGAATGAGGCTAATTTGCCTTTAATCTTTGGTACTGGAGGCAAGAGGAAAGCACAGGCTCCATGAGTTTGGAAGCCATAAGGGAGAGGAGGCAGCGTGGGGTCTCAGGAGGCTTCAGGCTGTGCCTTAGGGGTGAGTTGAAGTGAGTTTGGGAGGGGTGAGCATCTCTGCTGAGAGGGAAGATTTACCGTCTTTGGGTTCTGTAAAGGGCAGTCAGGTGGGAGGGCCAAGGGAAAGGAAAAGATGAGAATAGCATCACCCACCCGTGCCATGAGGTCTCAGATGGGTGACCATGGTGCCTGTGGAGGGACCTGCAGTGAGAACAGAGCAGAAGCCCTCCTGCTGA